CCATCCGTACTCCTGCCACGTTTCTGCCTGTCTGTTTCTGCCTACCTCTAAAAAAAATTCAGGCTATTATATTGTCTTCCTCTCTTATATAGCGCTGTGTACCTCTGACGTGGAAATCAGGGCAATGAAGATCGTAGCATTTCCTCTCATTAACTGAGAGTTTGCATAACTTAGGGTGAAAATATCTACATTCTGTATCAAAACGACATCTGCCTTTCCCTAACCAGTTTCGGTATTTCCGTGAGTGCATGAATGAGCATCCCGTGCCTCTGGGTCCATATCTACACTGTCCTTTTGCATAATACCTTCAAATATTTTCATCTGTGATTGTATTATTCTTGTTTGTACCCATGCACGACTTGGCTACCTCTGTGTTTTTTGTTCCAACTTTCTCGTTTCTGCATTCATTCTCGGTATTGCCCTTATCTTTCTCCTTGTTCCTTTCGTCTTTATCATTTGTGTTCTCATTCGTCTCATTTTTTCTCTCCTTATTCATATCACCAGTTTGCTCTACAATATTGCCTTTCACAATATTGCCTATCAGCAATGCGCGCATGCATTGCTGAGCCACAGCAATGTGTGGCCGGGTACAGCTAGTTAGTAATAAAAATATAAGAATGAAGGTAACTGCAGAAGGCCTATTGGGGCGTACGAGGCAGCTCTCTCTCTCTCTCTCTCTCTCTCTCTCTCTCTCTCTCTCTCTCTCTCCATCTTATCTCATTCATATATATGTATGAAATTGGATGGATATATATGTATGTTGTATGAGATTCAATCTTATTGTTACGGCCCTACTGGGACGCAACTGGGTTCTCCTCTGATGGTAGTAGAGTTTGGGAATCCGGCCCCAAGTTAGTAGAGGCTTTCAAGGGGGGTATTCCGTAACGCAAGTTAAATTAAAGGGGGAGGGATACAAATGTTCCAGTTTTTCTGATATATTTACCACCACCATATATAAATAAATAACAGTCGCACGCGGGGATTATTACTACACTTATGTACAGTTGCGTCTTCCTCCGAAGACACTGGATGCTCAACGATGCTCACTCTGGGTAGCCCTGGTTCCTTCTTCCATGGCCCACGATGAATCCACTATGACTCTATGACGAATCTACCCTAGCCACAGGCCAGCCAAATCACAGTCCCACTGGGTGCTTCGTCGTGGAGGCCTTCAACCACAATCCAGCCTGTAGCTGGCAGGTACCAATCAGCTCCGCTGTGTAGGCCACTCCACGACCGATACTTAGGGTTGCGAGCCCTAGCCAGGAGCCTCGTGTGACTCGCTGGTCACTCTCCTCACACAGCATCACAGTGGCTAGTCTCTTCCACCAGCCAGCCCCGGATAAGGCGATACCCGACACTGCCACGCCTCAGGCAGGCTATTACACTCTCAACAGAGTTCGTCCGGGGGTGACTCACGGCTTCTTCAGCAGACTGGTGAAGAGACCTTGGCTGCCTTGGGTAGACTGATCCATCGTCCAACACAGCAGTCCCAGGTCGACTCTGCAATCAGATACGTCATTAATACTGGGACGCTCTAGGGAACCTCACTTACAAGCTTAGACACAAACGTCCACCTCTTCACTCCATAGATGGCGTTGCTGTCTAAGCGCCACCTCACTAGAGGTCAGCGGCGGCTATGTTATGAGCTGATTAAGACAGGAATCCAGCACGTATTGCCGGCGTCTCTCGTCATCACTAGATGGCGTCGTCCATTTGGAGGGGGTTTCGGGAGCGGACTCACAGATGGCGTTGTTGTCACTGCTCCGTGCTCCGACGATGGACTCGGGTCCGTAACACTTATCCAACCTACGCTTCAAACAATACAGGGTCCCCATTTCCAATAGTAGTTTACAATAATAGTTTATATTAAATAGCTTACATTCTAGATTTACACACAACTATAACTGTAACTATGACCCACTAGTAGTTACCGTACATCTGGCAGCTGAGCAGATAAGTACCTGTGTTCATAGGTTAGTAAACTTTACTCCGATCTATCAAATAGCTGAGCAAATGTCGCATCGCAGTTCATCCATTCGTCTATCCTGCTGATCGAACTCACCAGGATGTTCGCCACTATATTCATAGTTTAATCACTCTCAAACCTCAAAAATCCTAATCTTGCTACACAAATCAGCTAACATGTTTCTAAACCAACAGGCGTAAATACATACATTCATACCTACACATACTCCACAACCCATACATGCATAGAGAATAGCCTGTTTTGCCACCATAGCCCCATTAATGAGATGTAATTTATACCATATTAATTCCTAAAATGTATTAAGCACAAGATTTCAGTAACCCCACTGCTCATTCACCCCAAGTTATCTTAAAATTTTATACGGTTAATTCATATTAATGCATACCAATCAGCAAGGTAACCCTATTATTCAAGCAAGTCCAAATTATTATTAAATACCCTATTATATTCAAACACATACATTTTATTCATACATATAAACATACATTCATACATACATACATGTATGTATATATACAGACGTACATATATACACCCATAGTTAATAATCCCATTTTATATAAATGACACCTCTATTTAGACAGGTGTAATTAGTTGAACCCTAAACCCTTTTTTTTCAATTATCGGTCATATTCTAGCAATAAATAAAGGGTACATTCCTCCCAATAATCGTTCAGTTGATAATACCCATAATATTTATGCCTAACAATCAAAGAGATTAATATATAATTTAAGCAACTCCGAATAATATATCGCAAATTACCCTATTTATACCTATCCTATCCTAGTCTAAACCAATCCTACACTATCCTATCCTATCTTAATCCTGCCCTGCCCCAATCCAATTTATCTAAACCTACCCATACTCCTTAAGATCCCTACCTATCATAGCCAAAATTCTATCTTATCCTAACCTATCGTAGTCTAAACTTACCCTACACTAACCTATCGAAATTCTGCCCTGCCTAAATCCAATCTATCCAAACCTACCCATACACATATCAGATCCTTACCTATCATGACCGGGAGCCGGCCGACCGGGAGCCGGCCGACCGGGAGCCGGACGACCGGGAGCCGGACGACCGGGAGCCGGACGACCGGGAGCCGGACGACCGGGAGCCGGACGACCGGGAGCCGGTAGGCCGAGCGGACAGCACACTGCGCTTGTGATACTGTGGTCCTGGGTTCGATCCCAGGCGCCGGCGAGAAACAATGGGCAGAGTTTCTTTCACCCTATGCCCCTGTTACCTAGCAGTAAAATAGGTACCTGGGTGTTAGTCAGCTGTCACGGGCTGCTTCCTGGGGGTGGAGGCCAGGCCTCGGGGACACTAAAGCCCCGAAATCATCTCAAGATAATCTCAAGATAATCATAGCCAAAAAACTGTCCTATCCTAACCTAATCTATCCTAGTCTAAACTAACCCTACAGTAACCTATCCTAATCCTGTCCTGCTCCAATCCAAAACCTAACTTGCCCTATCCTATCCTATCCTAACATATCCTATCCTAATCTAACCCTGACCCAATCCAATTCTAGCCTATCCTAACTACACCTATCCTGTCCTATCTCAACATATCATAGCTTTGCTAGTCCTTCTTTAGTTATATTAAGAGTTATATATACCACATTCATAATTTAAAAATAAAAACGCACAAAGTATGACATTTCCACGCAAATGTGCCATTTACGCACAAACATATCATTTTCACACAAAATATAATATTTACAAGCAAAATTTATAACTCACGAAATATATCATTTACTCACAAAATATGTCATTTACACACCAAATATACCATTTATATACTAAATATGCCAGTTGCACACAAAAATATACCAGTTACACAAATACTGCATATCCACTCAGAGTATGACATTTACACAAGTAGGGTGTTTGTACAAATATAGCAAATTGCTTATACACTCATACAAACAAAAATGCACTCTCATTAAATTTTCACAATTACATAAACATAATTTTCACAAAACTCCACACACACAGACACATAACCCAAATACACTTTCCCAATTGCTCATTAAGATTTTTTTTTCAGATAACATGTACAGAATTTACACATATACACAATTTGCGCGAAAAATAGTTTAATCAGTTCCACATCACCAATTAAATCACAATTTGCATATATACACATTTCGCACAAAGATGATTATAAAACATGGACAATTAATAATCAACGTGTGGAACTGATACACATCTTTGCACAATTAATACATCCAAACTTCTAAATAAATGTACTAATTGCACAAATGTTAATCAATATACAACAGGCGCAAATACACAATTCCTCCATATACAAACAAACAACATGCCCAATTAATACACAAATCGCACAGTTATTACACATCTTTCATAATTATTACACAACTTGCATCAATACAATCAAATACATATTCCAGCACAAAATACATGCAATACACAACTAGCTCAAATATGTAAAATACACAACTAGCATTAATACACAATTCACACACGTACAATTAAATTACAACACATACACAATTAATACACAACACGCACAAATATAATCAATACACAACTAGCACAAAATATGATCAATACATAACTAGCACACATACATGAAATACACAGTTACACTTACAAAACACATGTAATTAATACACAACTTGCACAGACAATACACAATTTGCAGGAATATGATCAATACATAATAACAATCATCATACAACATGTGCAGAAAACTATCAATACATAACCTGCACAATTAATACACAACTTGCACAATTATAATCATTGTGCTATATGGGCACACTGCACCCTATGGCCTCAGGCAGCATGGGGGATCAAGGCACCTTTTGGCCTCCAGGCAGCATGAGCTCTAGGTAGACATGTGAGTTCTAGGCAGCAAGTGGGCTCCAGCCAGCATCTGGGCTCCAGCCAGCATGTGGGCTCCAGGCGACATGTGGGCACCAGGTAGCATGTGGGCTGCAGGCCGCATCTGGGCTCCAGGAAGCCATTGGGCTCCAGGCATCAAGTGGGCTCCAGGCAGCAAGTGGGCTGCAGGCAGCAAGTGGGCTCCAGGAAGCAAGTGGGTTCCAGGCCGCATGTGGGCTCCAGGAACCAAGAGGCTCTGGGCAGCATGTGGGCTCCAGGCAGCAAGTGGGATCCAGGAAACATGTGGGCTCTAATGAGCATGTGGGTTCCAGGCAACATGTGGTCTCTAGGGAGCATGTGGGTTCAAGGCAACATGTGGGATCTAGGGAGCATGTGGGCTCCAGGCAGCAAATGGGCTCCAGGCCGCATGTGGGCTCTAGGGAGCATGTGGGCTTCAGGCAGCATGTAAGCTCTAGGGAGCATGAGGGCTAAAGCAGCAAGTAGGCTCCAGGCAGCAAATGGGCTCTAGGCAGCATGTGGGCTCCAGGCAGCAAGTGGGCACCTGGCAGCAAGTGGGCTCCGGGTATCAAGTGTGCTCCAGGCAGGAAGTGGGCTTCAGGCAGCATGTGGGCTTCAGGCAGCATTTGGGCTCCAGGAAGCATGTGAGCTTAAGGCCCATTGTGGGATCCACGCAGCATGTGGGCTCAAGGCAGCATGTGGGCTCCAGGCAGCAAGTGAGCTTCAGGCAGCATGTGCACACCAGGAAGCTAGTGGGCTTCAGGGAGAATGTGGGCTCCAAGCAGCAAGTGTGCTTCAGGCAGCAAGTGGGATTCAGGAAGAATTTGGGCTGCGGGCAGCATGTGGGCTCCAGGCAGCATGTGGGCTCCAGGCAGCATGTGGGCTTCAGGCAGCATGTGCGGCCAAGCAGCATGTGGGTTCCAGGCAGCATGTGGGCTCCAGGAAGATTTTTGGGCTCCAGGCAGTATGTGGGCTCAAGACAGCATGTGGGCTCCAGGCAGCATGTGAGCTCCAGACAAAATGTGAGCTCCAGAAAGCAAGTGGGTTTCAGGCATCATGTGGGTTCCAGGCAGCATGTGGACTCCAGGCAACATGTGGGCTCCAGGCAGCATGTGAACTCCAGGCAACATGTGGGCTGTAGACAGTATGTGGGCTCTGGCAGCATGTGGGCTCCAGACAGCATGTGGACTCTTGCAGCATGTTGGCTCTGGCAGCATGTGGGCTTAGAAGCATGTGAGCTCCGCATGTGGACTCCAGGCAGCAAGTGGGCTTCAGGCAGAATGTTGGCTCTAAGCAGCAAGTGTGCTTCAGGCAGGAAGTGGGCTTCAGGCAGCATGTGGGCTTCAGGCAGAATTTGGGATGCAGGAAGCATTTAGCCTCCAGGCAGCATGTGGGCTCCAGGGAGCACGTAGGTTCCTGGCAGCATGTGGGCTCCAGGCAGCATTTGGGCTCCAGGCAGCATGTGGGATCCAGGCAGCAAGTGGGCTCCAGGTAGCATGTGGGCTCCAGGTCGCATGTGGGCTCCAGTCACCTTGGGGGCTCCAGGCAGCATGTGGGCTCCAGACAGCAAGTGGGCTCCAGGAAGGAAATGGGCTCCAGGCAGCAAGTGGGCTTCAGGCAGAATGTGGGCTCCAGGCAACATGTGGGCTCCTGGCAGCATGTGGGCACCAGGCAGCATGTGGGCTCGAGTCAGCATGTGGGCTCCAGGCAGCACGTGGGTTCCAGGCAGCATGTGGGCTCCTGGAAGTATGTGGGCTCCAGGCAGCATTTCGGCTCCAGGCAGCATGTGGGTTCCAGGCAGCATGTGGGTTCCAGACAGCAATTGGGCTCCAGGCAGCAAGTGGGCTTCTGCAGGCAGCATGTGGGCTCCAGACAGCATTTGGGCTCCAGGCAGCATGTAGGCTCCAGGAAGCATGTGGTCTCCAGGCAGCAAGTTTGCTCCAGGCAGCAAGTAGGCTTCAGGAAGCATGTGGGCTCCAGGTAGCAAGTGGGCTGCAGGCAGCATGTTGGCTCCAGGCAGCAAGTAGGCACCAGGCAGCAAGTGGGCTCCGGGTATCAAGTGTGCTCCAGGCAGGAAGTGGGCTTCAGGCAGCACGTGGGCTTCAGGCAGCATTTGGACTCCAGGCAGCATGTGGGCTTCAGACACATTGTGGGCTCCACGCAGCATGTGGACCCCAGGCAGCAAGTGAGCTTCAGGCAGCATGTGGACTCTAGGTTGCAAGTGTGCTCCAGGCAGCAAGTGGGCTTCAGGCAGCATGTGGGCTGCAGGCAGCATGTTGGCTCCAGGAAGCAAGTAGGCACCAGGCAGTAAGTGGGCTCCGGGAATCAAGTGTGCTCCAGGCAGGAAGTGGGCTTCAGGCAGCATGTAGACTTCAGGCACATTGTGGGCTCCACGTAGCATGTGGGCTCCAGGCAGCATGTTGGTTCCACGCTGCAAGTGTGCTCCAACCAGCATGTGGGCTCCAGGCAGCAAGTGGGCTCAAGGCAGCATGTGGGCTTCAGGCAGCACGTGGGCTCCAGGCAGCATGTGGGCTCCAAGGAGCAAGTGGGCTCCAGGCATCATGTGGGCTTCACGCAGCATGTGCGCTCCAGGCAGCATAAGGCTCCAGGCAGCATGTAGGCTTCGGTCAGCATATAGGCTGTAGGAAGCATGTGGTCTCCAGGCAGGAAGTTTGCTCCAGGCAGCAAGTAGGCTTCAGGCAGCATGTGGGCTGCAGGCAGCATGTTCGCTCCAGGCAGCACGTAGGCACCAGGCTTCAAGTGGGCTCCGTGTATCAAGTGTGCTCTAGGCAGGAAATGGGCTCCAGGCAGCATGTGGGCTTTAGGCACATTGTTAGCTCCTCGCAGCAAGTGGGCTGCAGGCAGCAAGTGGGCTTCAGGCAGCATGTGAGCTGCAGGCAGCATGTTCGCTCCAGGCAGCACGTAGGCACCAGGCTTCAAGTGGGCTCCGTGTATCAAGTGTGCTCTAGGCAGGAAGTGGGCTTCAGGCTGCATCTGGGCTCCAGGCAGCATGCGGGCTTTAGGCACATTGTTAGCTCCTCGCAGCATGTGGGCTCCAGGCAGCATGTGTTGGATATTTCCTACACCGAATACAACACTGTTGTATTCTCATTACTTATTACTAACTCTATTAATTATTGTAGTAAGTAAAATTAACAACACGTAGAATTCTCATGTACTAATAATTTCATCTGTGCAGTAGGCTAGAATTCTCACGTCACCCGACGCCAGTATTGCGTCAGATTTCATTACAATAAACACATTATATCCAATGTATGTGAGAATTAAATTCGATTCTCTATAACTAAGGCATTCTGTATGATAACTAATTACCGATGGTTTGACCTCCAACTAAAAGCCGAATAGAGCGTTGGAGTCATAGCGATTGTCTAGTAATAAAAGTTAACGTCGCCAGTGAATGCCATGGGGAGACATTAATTCCTCTCCCTTATATATTTACTATCTCTAAATTGGCAAATAATAATATTTTCCTCTTCTAAATAATAAACCCGTCCAGTCTTCAACATTTCAAGCGTAAATGCGAGAAATATTAATGTTCGTGACAATAATTTGTTTTATGAACGCGGGACGCGGCGTGGGTTGAGGAAGCTTACAGTACACGTGGAGAGCCGCTCGGAGGCAGACCTGCTCATACCGTACTCACAAGGAGACGCCATTGCCCAGCCATTAGGGTAGACGTTATCCATCCCCAGATGAAAGTCGCCACTGTGAGGCGTGAATAACCTTGCAGATAATATCTTCAACTGGTGCTGGTGTCAGATAAGGAACCTCTCTAACCTGGTTCTTGACTACACGTGACCGGCCAGTGAAGCGCGCCACGATCCAGGATAGGCTTAGCCGGAGCCTGGGGACGCGAATTTCGGCAATCTTAAAACTTATACAGTGCCCTTTCAGCTAAGTATATTCCCTTTATGTGATGCATCTTGTAAAGTGTTTTGTAGTAGCTGGGTGATTGACCGTTACGACGCACGATAACATCTAATAACAGGTTATTAAATTTGTCACTTGTAACTCTCAATTTCTTGAATATAGAGATTCAGTAGTTAAATTAGTTGCTACTGTAAATATTTGTCTTGCAGCACGTGAGAAGAATTCTCCCTGCCGCCTTCTCCCATGTTAATCCGTCCCATTCGTCAGCCAACCGAGTTCAGAGAATTAGAGGAAACGTCGTGACTTACCTAAAGGAATCATCTTTAAGCTAAGATTCTTTATATTCATTCATGAATTTATTACCATTATTTATATGCAGAATTCCTCAGGATTAACATGTGTTTATTGTGACTCTCATTACTATACTTATAATCTATGTTCCCATTTATGGTAATGACGTTAGTTTCACTATAATTCATAGGATTAGATTATTATTATTTGGATTAGTGAACGAACCACACTAGTTCCTGGACGTACTTACCTCCAGTAATAACCCCCCAATGTAGGTGTTTGAGGGTTAGATTCATTTAATTATACAGCCCATTAATTGTTTCTATGATCATATTCTCTAGTATTTTATCCATAGTTACTGGTTCATCTAGGAATTATCTAATGATCAGAAATTCTCAGTTTCCCTCTTTACTATAAAAGCGGGTGGTCCTTCGTAATTTAATTTACTACATTAATATTTAAATAATCAGATTCAAGCCCCAAATATCCCACATTATGGTCCTTATCGAACCGGATAGGCATTAAATTTATAATTAAAATATTAATCATTAATAACTAATCCTTGTGTGATAGAAGCTAGACTAACTATTTAATTAATTGTGTCAACTAACAGTGTAACACATCAGTTAGCCTAGATCACACTAACATATTGCTACTTTCACCTCATGTATAAGGTAGCTTTAGTGGGTCATAGTCAATTACCCACAACACTTAGACCTATACCTCACACAGAGGTGAGAATCTTTAGGTCACCAGGAGCAACAGCTCACAACTTTTACAATAACCCCACCCTAACACCTGCGTTAGAGTGGCCTCACCATCTAACCATTATATACTTAGGTGGTAATGACATCCACCCCACTCGTCATCCAGCTGAGGTGATCAAACACCTCAAAGCCATAATTTCTTTTTTCAAGCTCATCAGTGAATCAGTAGTATTCACATTAGTGGAACCTCGCCAACCAAGTCAAAATAATCGTTGGGGAGTAACCCCAGAATACTACCTGAGAGCTGCTAAGTACATAAATTTCAGGCTGAAAAAAACGAGTGAGATTGGATGCCACATATATCCAATTTACAGCCAGACCTTACAGACAGAACCTGACCAGAGATGGTGTACACTTGTCAGGGGAATCTAGGTTGCATGTGGTTGACAAGTTAATTAACACCATCAACCATCACAAACGGCAGTGGCTAGCAAGCCAAACTTAACTGTGCATAATTGTTCACCTGTGTGTGCAAGAGCACTCTTATAAAACAAAAAAAAAACAAAAATACAGCACAACTATATTCACCTTACTGCACCACAATAATCTTTACCCATGTTATTAGGTAGAATTTAGGCTGAGATTGTGCTGAATTTGGTACAAGCCCAGACTAAATAACTTTATAGTTCTTAGTTAGGAATTATTACGACTAGATCTAAGCTAGTCAGTGTTGTATGTATTATATTATTTGTGCTGACCCTATACAGGGTGGGATTAATTTTTGAGATAACTCTGATTGGAGTGTCTCCATAATATTTCTCTTGTATGCATTATTTTGTGTATCTATTTTGTGTATTGCTGGATAATCCCCATTAACTCTGATGGTGATATAGAAGAGCTAACCGGACGAGAACTAATGGTGAAGTTCAGACAGTACACAAAATATCTAGCTATTTGTTGTTAGGTAGGTAGGTACATTCAACCTCAAGTGAGGTAAAATATAAAGTAGTCACCTTAAATTAGGCTACAATTAATGTTACTTATTCACTAATGAACAAGTACCCAAGCTTCATTAGTAATACATATACTAACACTGTGAAGTTTGAACCTAAGCCCAACATGGCTACTCCTGAGCAATTGAGGAGAACCTACATTGGCCTTAAAGGTCATTTGACCAGATTAATTAATAAGGCTGAGGGCTTAACTAAAGATACTCCCATTGACTCTTATCACTTAGAGACATCAGTTAGATTGGCTGATCTGAAATTTGATCAAGTCAGATCTGCAGGTCAATCTTATCTTGATCTGCTAAATACTGTAGAAACTGATCCTGAGGAAGCAAGTCAAATTGTAGACGACATCTCCCAGTATGAAGATGAGACTCAAGATAGAATTATCAGGCTAAATCTAAATTAGCCAAACAATCTGGATCCAATACCAGTAACAATGGGTCTCACTTGAATAATCACTTACCCGAGGTTCGTTTACCTACTCTAGACTTGCCTACATTTTCAGGATTAGATACAGAAAATTGGGACAATTTTTGGACTTCCTTTGAAGTTCGCATCCATAAGAAACAGTCTCTAGACAAGGTTTCTAAATTTTCATACCTACTTAGTCTTCTCACAGGAGAGGCTAAAAAGGTCATCCATAACCTTACTCTTAATGAGAGTAATTATGAGGAAGCTATAAAACTCCTGAAGTTGAACTATTGCAACCAAGAGTTAAGTATAGCTACCCTCTATTATCAATTGCTAGATCTGAATGCACCAAACAGTAGACCAGAGTCACTTCAAAGCTTCAGACTAGAAGTAGAGTCTCTAGTAAAGGCCTTAGATACTAAAGTTAATATACCTGCTTCTGAATGGTCTATCAAGCTACTATTACAGAGGAAATTACCTCGAAATGTCTTGACAGAGCTCTGCTCACATTATAATACTGAGTTTCTTACTCTCGATCAAATTTTCGAGGGGTTGAGGATCACAGTTAACAGGTTGAAGACTCATGACAAAATTAAACCTGAGTCTAAGCCAACTAATGCTGATATTTCAGTCAAACCTAAACAGACTCAGAGTAAGTCTAATAAATATAAATCCAAACCTACTCCATCCACTAGGAAAAGAAGTGGAAATGTAGGTACATATTCAGTATCTCCTTCAGAGATAACCAATGACTTGTCTACTAAAGAGACTAAGTCTATTAACCAGAGAAAGTGTCTGTTCTGCAATCAGGAACACACCACTTACCAATGCTCTGTTTATCCTACTTATAATGTTAGGGTTAAAAGGTTACAGGAATTGCACAAGTGCACCAAGTGCATGGGCTCTCATGATCCCAAGAAATGTGCAGTACCGCTACGTACCTGCAACCGTTGTAACCAAGGTGTACACCACTACGCCTTATGTAGAAAATCTTCTACACCAACCATGACCACTGGAGAGAATTCTACTAATTCTACTGCAGTGCAATATTGTAAAGTACATCACGAAGTAAATGTACTTGCTACTGAGTCAGGCAATCATACTACTTTGCCTACAGCTCAACTTAAACTAATAAACCGAAGATC